CATTGGAGACACCCAGGTTATTGAGCAACAATCGAGCGCCAGCGGGCACGCAATAGTCACCCAGCACAATGTCGCAGCAACGCGGCGCGTGAGAGTGTGTGCGATCGGGTACATGCGCATGGCCTCGGATAGCACGGCGTCCAGGAAGGGCAAGCCGGCCAGCGCACCGTAGGGCGACCTTTGCATTCCGAGACCACCTCGGCGCGGGCGAGCTCCTGGGCAGCGGGATGGCGGGCCAAGAGGTGCGCGGCGTAAGCCAGGGTGTTGGAAGCACTCTCGAAGCCAGCAAACATGAACAGCAGGGCTTCGGCCTCGATGGCTCGGTCCGAGCCATAAGGGTTGGTGCCCCCGTCGCCGCTGCCGTCACCGATGAGCACCGTGAGCAGGCATGGAGGGCGTGGGACCGTCGATGGGCGCTGCGTCGTTGTCATTGTCGTGCGCGGCGTCGCTGCCACACAGCAGGTCGGTCATGATGGCCAGCATGAGCGGGATGAAGTAGTGCTCGTGCATGTTGATCGGCGCCTCGGTGTCCCCTCGGGCCTCGAGGGCCGCCACGGTGCCATCCAAGTGGCGGTCCACCACCGGCACGGCGCTGCGGAGGGCGTCGCGCGTGAAGAAGGTCGCCACGACGTGGCTGCGGCGCGCACGCCACACGACGCCGTCCACGCCAAGAAGACCACCGCCCATCACCGTGGCCGTCCTCGTGTGCAATGGCGCCCGGCCCATGAGAGCGCCAGGCCTGGCGCACCAGCGCCGGATCGTTGAGCACAACAATTGGTGGCGACAGCCAGTACGGCAGCCAGGTGGGGCCGGCGCGCAGGGTGACAGCCTCAGGGTGGTCGCGGCTAGAGCACCCAGGCTCTCGTGCAAGGTCTCGATTGGGTAGAGGATTGGCCCCACAGCCAGTGGCCTGCGGGTGAAGGCGTGTGCACGGCGTGTGTGGCCATTGCGCCTGGCTGCCAAGACAACCTACAGGCCGATCGTAACGAGAAGCCACATGAACAACGAGGGTCTTTGATTTGCTTTGTGCTACGCTGTTGATGTGCCTTTGGGTCGGGCCATTTGTTGCCATACCAAGAAACCGACGCTCTTGCTGCCATCGCTACGAAGCCCAGCGGAGCATACAAAGCACACAGCACCGGCAGGTGGTGTTGGATACTCTTCGTCTCTCTCTCTCTCTCTTTTTCTCTATCTTTCTTTATGTTTACCTTTCTTTTCTTTATTCCCTCTTATTTCCTCTGACTTCACACTTGTACCATTTCAGATCTCCTCAATACATTACCTTTTTTCCTTTCAGACATCTTCATGTCTCTTTAGCTTCTCTTTAGCAAAGTTGGAAGACGTCAAGAAGAAGCAGATTGCTGCCTTTGTTGGAGATGAACTGGCCCTCAAGGCCGCTCATGAGCTGTGTAAGGGATGTTGCAAAACCTTTGTCTTCATCTGCAGTACTATTGCCCCTGAGCTACTTGAGGACATATCTGGCATGAGCGATGGCTGCCCTCTAGCTCTCTGGATGGCAATCAATAATTGATATGGCAACAATGACATCGCCCTCCAAGCTGCACAGTGTGACCTTGGATGGCCCAACTTCTACCTGGTTCGCCCTGGTGACACTGTGCACTCCATCTGGGCACAGATCCAGGCCCTTGTCAACATGCTCACTGTTGAGACCAGAGGACACAAGATGTCAGAACAGAGCCACCTCATGATTCTTGCAACAGCCCTCAAAAGCATCAACCTGGCTTTTGAGGCTCAATTCAATGCACTCACCAATGACATGGCCACAGAGGCCGTTCTCAAGGCACTTGACTGTGTTGAGGCCTCCCATCACACCAGCCCCAGCTCTGACACCATCCTCTACACCAGCCAAGGCCAGCACCACGGGCGTCCAGCATTCCAACACCATCAAGTGCCATACAGCGCACACGCACAGACGCTGCTGAACTCTCTGCCACCACAGCACCCAACTGGGCCTCACTTGCCACGCCAGCAACGTTGTGACAACTGGGGCAGCGACAGAGGCCACTGGTGCTCCCTGCACAACTCCAGCAGTCACTTGCTGGAGGAATGTCATGAGGCTGCTGCTCATGGTCTCACTGGCGCCATGCCTCAAGCTACTCCCCAGACCACGCACACCGCTGCTCTTGCTGCGATGACTGCCACTGCCATCATGGCTGTGTCTTCTTTCCTGCTACACATGCTGCAGTTGTCTGTTCTTGCCACCATGACTGCTGCTGCCACTGCGGCCCGCCTGAGCGATTTCGCCATTGTCAGTGAGTCTGCTGCTGGTGCTGCTCTCTCCTCTGAGCCAACACCCAATAAACCATTCCAGAACTACTTGGTCTTCTCCCTGGTCACGCCTGTCCATCTACCTACCATCACTGACACTGGTGCCATGCAACACACCACCAACTGAAGGGACCTGCTCCACAACTTCATTCCTCTTGTGCTCCCATTGAGGCTGGTGTGCACTATGGCAGACACATTGAGTGTCTGGGGCATGGCACCCTGTGTGGCACCACCATTGTCAATGGCCAGGCCAGCAACATCATGATGTGTGACGTTGTGTATGTACCTGGCGCTTCACACACTCTGATCTCGCCTCAGCAGCTACTGGATGCTGGGTGCCAGGTCATGTTCAACCAGCAATGTGGATTCCTATTCTACCTGGATGACAAACTACGCCTGTTCAGCTACTGGAGTGGGAACCTCTACTATTTCAACATCACCTTCACTCCAGCCAACATTGCCACACCACATGCTGTGCTCGTGGCAGCCGCCTTGCTGCTGTGCCTTGATCTCATTCACTGTTGGCTTGGCCATGTCAGTGAATGGTGATGCTGTGAGTTCATCCAGCAGTCCGCCAACCTCAGTGAGTGTGAGAAGTGTGTGGCTCTGTCATCCTCACTGTCACCCATCTGTGATGTCTGCCTTGCTGGGAAGCAGACCATGTGTGGCGTCAGCAGGGTACCATGCATGAACCACTCCATGTGAGGCGCCTACCCCAGCGATCTCCTCTCACTCGACCTGATTGGGCCAATGAGGCACCAATCAGCTGGTGGGCACACCTACCTACTCACCATCACCAATTCATACTCACACATGCATTTTGTTCACCCACTGCCCAACAAGACCTCCACCACCATCTGTGCAGCTCTTCAGGCAATTGCTGCCTCATTCCCTCCAGCGGTGTGCATCCATTGGGTCCATCTCAACAACACACACAAGCTCAACACGCTCATGGGTGCATGGATCCTCAACATCAGCACCAAAAGGGAGCCTACACCACCCTACACATCTAAATACAATGGTGTTGTTGAGTGGTTTAACCACAAGGTTATGATGCGCGTTTGGTGCCTGCTCTTCAACACTCACCTCCCCAGCAAGTGGTGGGCTGAGGCTGCACACTACACATGCAACATCATCAACCTGACGCCCACTCAGGCCAACCTGGACAGTGCATCCCCATATCTGCTTTGGAATGGCGTCACACCACCATCCAGACACATTCATGTGTTTGGCACTCCAGGTCAGATGCACCTGCACACACACAAGTGGCACAAGATCTCCAAGCAGTCCATGCCTGTGTGCTTCATGAGCATGGTGGACTACTCACTGTCCACCTACTGGGTCTACATTGTTGGCCAACACTGTGTTGTTGACATGTGCAACGTTGTCTTCAATGAATGCTGTGCGTTGTGTCCTCCAGATGACTGCCCACTGCCCATGCACATCTGTGTCCCTCTGCTACCAGACAATGACAACGACATGCCAGCTACACTGTCTTCCCCAATCCTGGGCAGTGATGCAATCACCAACACACCCACCAACTCCACAGAGACCACATCAACCCATGAACCGCCATCGCCTGACCTGGCTAGCCCCAACTGTCCCACGCCAATGGCCTCAGGCGCTGCAGCCAGTGTCTCTCTGCCGGCGCCCTCAGATGTCAGTCCAGCAGGTCCTGTGTCTCACACAGCAACTGCTCCAGCCACAGCAACGCCTCTGGAGTGCACCCCAACAAGCACACAGATCATCAGCTCAGCACATGCCTCCACCACAACCAGCAGCAAGCAGATCAAGTGGGCAGCCACCACAAGTGTGAAGTATGGCAGTGAAACTGTGGCAGTCACCTGATCCAGCCACAATGTGCACCAACCTGCAAGGCTGAACCTGCTCTCCTCTCTCACCCACAAGGCGCCCACACACGCGGCCCACACAATGCTCCAACTACAGCAAATGGACCACACACTGAACCTCACCCAGCACACCACCACTGTTCCACGAACCTTCAGGGAAGTCATGGCCTCCAACATGAGAGAACAGTGGCTGGCGGCAATGCACAGTGAGATCAACACACTGGTGATGAACGACATCTTCAACCTGGTGGAGCTGCTGCCCAGTTGACAGGCCATCAGCACACACTGGGTTCTCAAGCTGAAGGCCCTCAAGATCTTCAAAGCCCGCTTCGTTGCACGTGGCTTCTTGCAGAAGGCTGGGATTGACTTTGATGACATGTACGCTCCCATACTTCAACTTGAGAACCTTCACCTCCTCCTGGCATATGCAGTCATGAACAGCCACATCGTCCACTCAATGGACATGAACAATGCATTTCTTCAGGTGGATCTCCATGAGGAGATCTACATGACACAGCCTGAAGGATTTGTCAATCCTGATCGGCCACACCACATCTACCGCCTGAAGAAGGCGCTCTACGGCCTCAAGCAGGCCCCTCTGGCATGGAACCACACTCTCAACGCCTTCCTCATCCAGATCAGCTTCGCAGCAGCATCCACAGACCCATGCCTCTACGCCACTGTGCTAGCAGTGATGGCGACCAGGGACCCTATGACCCAGAGCTTCACTGCACCTTCATCCACTCCAGCTCTGGTGGCAGACCACTCATCATCCTATCCATCTACATTGACAATCTCCTGATCATCAGTTCACCCATCAACATCAATGCTGTCAAGAAGCAACTCTGCCAGCAGTTCCACATCAAAGACTTCAGGTCTGTGTCAACCATTCTCAGGATCAACATCATCTACAACATGTCTGTGGGCACTCTTGATATCTCACAACAACAAAAGATTCTCCACCTTGCCACCAAATTCAAACTGCTCAGGGCCAAGCCACTCTCCTGCCCACTTCCCACAGGCACCAATCTGCACATGGTCAAACAGACCTCTCCAACACATGCCTCTCTCAAGTTTCACCACCTTGTCAGTGCACTCCTCTACATCACACTGGCTACCCAACCTGACACACTCCATGCCATCATCTACCTTTCACAATTCATCTGTGTGTTCAACAACACCCACTTTGAAGCTGCACAGCACATTCTACACTACCTTCACAGCACCATCAAACACACCATCCACTACACAAGGGATCGGAGCAACAATGAGACCCCTATAATCCACTGTGATGCCAGCTACAGCACTAACCCACTTACAATGAAATGTATTCCAGCAACATCACTGTGTGGGCTGGTGGACCCATTGCATGGTGGTCATGAATTCAGAAGACCATCACCCTCTTGACCGCCAAAGCAGAACTCGTTGCAGTGACCGATGCCATGCACCAGGCACTCTACCTTCAATGCATCCTACCTACGCTTGGCCTTCAGATTGAGTGGCCCATCTGGATTCTCAACAACAATCAATCCACCATCACAATCATGCACAAGCCCATCTTCGCCTGGCCCAAGAGACTGAAACACATCACCATCAAACACGCTTTTGTACATGACCACATCCAGCGAAAGGACATATCTGTGGACTACATCCCTATGAATGACAATCTTGCTGACTTCCTCACCAAGCACATCACCAGACCCAAGCTCAAATGCAACAAGATCAAGCTTGATCTCTCTGTTAGAAACTGAAGTGAATGTGCGATCTCTTTTGACTCAAGGGGGAGTGTTGGATACTCTTTGTCTCTCTCTCTCTCTCTTTTTCTCTATCTTTCTTTATGTTTACCTTTCTTTTCTTTATTCCCTCTTATTTCCTCTGACTTCACACTTGTACCGTTTCAGATCTCCTCAATACATTACCTTTTTTCCTTTCAGACATCTTCATGTCTCTTTAGCTTCTCAGCTTCTTGTCTTCTTCACCTCCAACAGGTGGCAAGGGCGCGTTCCTTATCCCATGGGCTCACTTGTGACAATGTGAGCCAAAGACAACAACGGAAAGGTGGGTTCCCTGTACTGTGTCAATGACATGCCCAGCGAGGGCACACCCTCCATCAGCGTGCACATCTACCACTTTCACTGGCTCACCTAACAAGAAGACAAGATTGAGACAGTGCCTGGGCTCCAACTGCAATAAAGAACCACCTGTGCACACCTTAGGAGAAGTCTATAAGTCCTTGTCCAAATCCAACATCTCTCTTGCTGAGAGTGATGCAATGGGCCATGACTGGCTGAGGTTCTGGTGGTTGTAGTAGTGGACAATGTCCTTGTCCATGTTGAGCATGTAATTGTGTTGATGGAAGAGTGGATCAATCTCCCAAATGTCATTGACCAACATGTACCCTGAGTTGAACATCTGGGCAAAGGACCTCTTGGTCTTGTGCACCAGGCAATACCAACTTGTCAGTTGAGTGGTCGCCCACTGTGAGGTTGGTGAAGCACGCCAAGTTGGCAATGTCTTCCTCCAAGGGCTTGTGACAGTTTTCATTGGTACAGTTGACCACTATTAACTTGCTGTCATTGAATGCAGCCTTCCACTTGCTGGCATGCTCTCCACTCACAAAGGCAGCGATGGTGTCATTGATGAGTTGCACACCCAACCCAGACAGATAGGAGTCAAAATGGTTGTAAAACACATACATCTTGCCCCAGTCCTCTTGTGCCCATGGTGATGATGGTGGTGATGTAGAAGGCGTTTAGTGAAAGGACAATGATGATGATGATATGATGGGAGACTGAATCTCAACCTTTAGAGCCAAAAGGCCATGAAATTTTTTGGCCTCCCTGTTCAGCCAGCCTCAAGACCATGCACATGTACAAGTGCAAGATACCCCACTGCACCAAGTGCCACACCACCAAGGGCTTGCTTGCTATACACAGAGATGCCAAGCACTCTTACTGCAACTGACTGGCTTCAATGACTCCTGAGTCAAGCAATCTTCCCCACCCTGTTGCTGGAGGCCATAATGGCAGCCAACCTGGTTTTGGTCTGGGCCATGACTTCTTCCTTGGCTTCATCCATGGCACATCCACCATAGGTCCTCTCAATCCTGCAGGTGGTGATAATGGAGCCCAGTCCATGTGCGTGCTCCTCTTCCTCACCAGAGGAAGGGCGCACCCACTTGTGTGCATCAGCAGCCATGGTGATGGTGGGCTCTTCTCTGGTGCACTTCATCTCCACACTGTCATTGTTGTTGTTGGTGTGTATCAAACCTACCACTCATTAGTGCCACCTGGTACATTTATAGGTTCTCATTGCACAAACCTGCCCCCTGGCTGGGCTGAAACTATTCCACAAGGCCAAAGATTATCACACAAGCAATGAATTGGCTGACACCTAAAGACACAATTCCATGGGAGTCATTGTGTACCAAAAGAGCCCAAATCAAGGGTGGATCATCTCTCATGTTCAAACAGATGGCTTTGTTTGCACTGCATAAATGAGTAAATGGTAATGCTTTTATTTGTGCAATGATTGTGTGGGCATAGTGAGGCATTTCTTTGAAGTGGACAGTAGGAGACAATGGATGGTCTCGTGGTGCCAGTGAATCTCAGGCGCCTGAGTGAAGAAGTCCACAGAGTCCTCAGAACGCATGGCATCATATGTGCTGTCATTATTGGTGGTGGTGGTGATGGTGATCTTGTAGTTTGGTTTTGTGCAAGTATGTTCTTTGTGAGCTCATGGCGCCATGTATTTCATGGGTGCACTGAAGCACTGGATGTCTTGCTATGGCAACAACTGGCTGATTTGGGTGCACCTGCCATGTTGCCTACTGCCAGCCTGTCAGAGCATCTTGACTGCCCCTTGGTTGGTGCCTTCACATAAGACCACCTTGCTGAGATTGCCTTGGTTGGTGCCTTCACATAAGACCACCTTGTCTGCTTTGTGACATCAGCATAACTTGGGTGACGCCATTGATGCTCTTGATGGTGGCCCTACACACTGGCCCCAAGAGTGACCAAGTGATGACACTGTGCCCTGTGCTGCTGGTGAGGTATTGTTGCCTGTGCTATTGCATAACCCCTGGCCCATGGGGCTGGCTCATTGACCTGAGGGAGGGGGCAAAAGGAAGTCTAATGGATGTTTGCCTTGGGGGCTGTGGATGTCATTCCTTGAGTTCCCAAAGGCTGCAGCCTGTGTGTGTGACCATGAGGGTTGGCAAGTGACAGCGCTGGGGCTGGTCATCATGGTCACAACAACTTGGCATTCCATCCCCACACAAGGGCATCAAGAACATCTGTACTCAGACCCCAAGCAACTTCACCTGAGCATCAACACGCCAACCCTTGCCCTCTAAGAGGAAGCCAAACTGATCACTAAGGATGCCAAATGCTGGCTGTGTACTTGATGGACAACATCTTGATGCCCTTGAAGAAGGCCTTTGAGCCTTTTGGCACTGGCCAAGGCCAAACTGCACACCGCCAATGTCATCAAGATGCTGTTCAACCTGAACTCAACCAACAGCAATCTGTCCCTCAGTGTGCTCTTCAACACTGCCATGCAGCTGAGGATCAAACCTGTTGTGGGCCATCAAGAAGCATGAAGGCACCAGAGCAGGTGGAGTTGCCAGAGGAGATTGATTTGTGGATGTACACCACCATGTCACAAGGTGTGGATGGAGTGAGAGAGAGTGTGTGTGTGGAGCATATTACCCCCAAGAATGTGCACACATGCACACCCAACAATAGCGATAACAATGAGACACAGGCAGAGGATGAAGAAGAGAAGAAGCACAATAACAATGGGCATGGGCATGGGCAGACAGGCAAGTGTATTGCAAAGGTGGTATTGATGACAAAGAGTACAGAAGCTGACAAGAAGAGGAAAGTGTGCAAGGATGAGAGGAGCAAGCAGCA